ACTATGCCAGGAGGTTCTGACCCGAGAACTAGAACTATGGGAGCATCACTGCGACTCACTTCTCCTGTTCTCTGTGTCGCTCGGCCCTGCAGAGAGAGAGAGAGGCTTCAGACTGAGGGGCGGCGCATCCAACCAGCATCCATCCAACCAGCATCCATCCATGGTGCTCACCGCTGCGTCCGGCTCCCTGGGGGGTCAGGGCGGGTCCTGCCATGCTGAAGTCTCCCATGGGGGGGTTCATGACGCTGGTGTGGAGGGCGGAGTCAGAATTGGTCCTGGAGGGGGGGAACACAGGGATTCAGGAGGAGAGAAGAAGAAGATGTTCAAAGGGCTGAAAGCAGCTGGAGACGCTGCATCACTGCGACCCAAAGACTGCAGCAACAAACCTGCAGCAGCTGCAGCAACAAACCTGCAGCAGCTGCAGCAACAAACCTGCAGCAGCTGCAGCAACAAACCTGCAGCTGGATGTGAGTGGATGTACAGATCTAGTGGAGCTCAGACAGCAGAGACATGGACGGATGAAACGGACAGGAACAGGAAACAGAAACGTCTCACACTGTCAGGAAGAGGAGGAAGAGGAGGAAGAGGAGGATTCACCTGTTGAGCGCTGTGGTGGGAAGACGGAACAACTGGCTTTTATCTCCAGGGAAGTTTCCAGACCAGTTCCTTTCAGTGATCGACAACAAGACAAAGTTATTTTCCTCCAGCGACCGGGGAGAGAGAGAGAGAAAAAGAGAGAGAGGAAGAGAAAGAGGGAGAGGCTGCAGGGCGACGAGGAAGAGGAACGCAAGCCAAGAAAGGAGGAAGATAGAGGCAGCGAGGGGGCGGGGCCGAGATCTGGTCATCAGGTTTTAGTAGGACAAACTGGGAGAACAGCATCCAACGTCCATTATGTAAAGTCGCAATAACATGATAAGTGAGTTTGTCACATGGGATCTGGATGAATCTATCAAAGCTTTTTACTCATTAAAATCACTTTTTTTTTCTGATGATTTTATAACTTTATTCTGGAAATAAATAAACGTCAGTTGCCTTCATTCTGACAGTTTTATGTGAGAATTAAGACGTTTTTGTGTTTTCCTAATCTTCCCCGTCCTTCTGCTCTTCGTGGCGCTCCACAGGGCGGTGTGTTTGGACCGCTTCTATTGCCACCCGCCAGCAGAACCGTCTGAAACCCAACGGGAGAAGCCGTGAAACGGAACGGAGCGAAGGGAAGCGGCTCGGAGTTAAAACGACTGAAACTGCAGGAACAGATTAACAAAGCCACAGAAAAACCACAGAAGAAGAAGCAGCAGCGGCCCAGACCCGCTTCCTGTTAGTGCTTCAGCTGTTAATGAAACAGAGGGATCCACTTTGTGTGACCCACAGCAACCAGAACCAGAACCAGCAACGACAGGACAGTGATCTTTGCTTTGGTTCTGACCCAGACGTTCCCCGGATCAGCTGATCTCCAGGATTTCTGGATCTTGGCCGGGATCCTGAGTGGTTCTGGTTCTGACCCAAACCAGCATTCAGTCGCAGGAAAACCCCAAAGATCCATCAGAGGCTGCAGCTCCATCTGAGCTCGATGCGTCACCAAAAGGTCACCAAAAGGTCACGCATCCTGACAGGAGTCAGGAATCTTTTCAGGTCCAGATCTCAGCACCACTCTACTGGTTCTGGTTCTGGATCGACCCAGGCAAAGTCCAAACTAAAGCCCTGAGAGATCGTGGAGATCAGCTCGGAGGCCGACGGCTCCATCGGGGCGGAGCAGCTGAACCTCAGCCAGGCATCCAGAACCGTCCCTGATCCAACAGCTGGTTCAGACGGATTATTTCCTTAGCATGAGCTACATGCTACATGCTACAGGGCAACATGCGGGACATCGTCCCCTGAGGACAGACTGCGTCTCCTCTCCTCCTGCCGTCTGCCTGATGAGCCTCTGCTGCTCCGCTGAACCACCTGGGGTCACGCTGGGGTCACAGTGGGGCTTTGGAGAGGCGGGAACACACAGGGGGCTCGGAAAGAGACAAACAGGCGTCCCAGAGGACAGACACGTCTCCATGGAGACGGAGGGGGGGAGTATCAGACTACACCTTCTCCAGCTGGCGTCGGGGGGCGGGGACAGGTAGGCGGTGCTGTACAGAGAGTTTTCCACCTGGGGAAGCGGCAGGTTAAGGAGCAACAACACAGTCAGGCTCTTTCACAATAAAAGCACCACTATTCAAACTGCTCTTCTTCTCCTTCTGAATTAAAGTCACATTTCTAGAACCTAACCCGTCACAGTGTGACAGGTTAGGGTTCTGTCATTTCATTAGCTCTGCAGAGTTCAGACCGAGGCTGTGTCACCTAGCAACAGCCGGGGCCAGACCGCAGCAGAACCTCTAGGTCAGCAGGAACAGCGGTTCTGAAGGATACTTGGCGGTTCCGATACGGTCGGACCGGCGAGACGAAGCGGCGGTCCCTCTGGACCCGCTCCACCAGGCCGTGGTGGCGGGTGGAGCGGCTGGACTCCAGGCCGGACTGGAACGAGCCCTGAGTGGAGGAACAGCAGAAGAAGAAGAGACGTTCACCGCTGGGCTCAGACATCACATTCTGAGACTTTTATGGCCGCAGCTGAAAATATTCCATCAGGACGGAAACACTGAAACACAATTCAGCCGCAATGAAGGAGGATTCCAGGTCAACAGGAACACAACACTTTACTGGAGTCATACTGGGGAGGACACTGGAGACTGGAGGCTAACGCTAACAGAGGACTGGTGGAGGCCAACAGAGGACTGGTGGAGGCTAACGCTAACAGAGGACTGGTGGAGGCCAACAGAGGACTGGTGGAGGCCAACAGAGGACTGGTGGAGGCTAACGCTAA